TCTGGAAACTTTTTTTTTTAACCTTAGAAATGACAGCACCACACACAAAAATATTGCCGCACAAACCACCAAAAGTTTACCACCATTGATGAGCACCACATTTCATTTGGTTTTGTAAATGTGGACCAGCTGGTTGACCTCTGGAAAGATTTCTTACTATATTTAAAATGGTAGCAGGACAAACAAAAACTTTGTTCTGCACAAACGTTGGACACCAATCTTATTTAATTTGATGAAGGAGAAGTGGCCATCTTCATTCAGGTTGTGTTTTGCGACTGTAACCCACCTCCTTCAGGATTCCAGGTATACGTTCACATCGAGTGTTCTCTCATCTCCAACCAGCCTATCTCTAATACCCAGATATAAATAATGTTTGTTTGTATCCAACCATAATTTTTTTGTGCTGATCCACAGCTAAAAGCATTTCTGCATTAGCAATAGCACCAGATAAATCATTTCAGTTCAATGTTTAATAAAAATAATTTTTAAACCTTGATGTTCACTCATTTTGAAGCATTTCACTGTCTTCAAAGTCAATAAAGCAGCCACCAAGTGAAAAATGTTTCCCTCAGAGCTATTAAAACACATTAGCTAAGACGCAGATTAGTCATCCACAATGCCTCAGCATTAATACCAGGATCAGCCTGTTCCTGCAGTTTGATTGTGTCTGCTTCGCTCTTCAAAGGGAGTTTGAATTGGATCTTGTTTGTTTGTGTTTTTGCCTCTGGCGATGCTGCGCTGCTGATGCTGATATGGGAATATGTATCAATCACCCGTCATCATTAACATGCTCCCAAGACGAAATTCCTGGCAGCTTGGAACTAGCAAATACCTCTCTGTGTTTTTTATTTTTTTTTTAGCCAAGGATAAAGGCACATTTTGCATTTTGTGCAACATGTGGCGAGAAAATTCAGTATGAACACTGAGTGCCGCACATAAAATGCAACAACAGATGATTTCTCCATGAGCGTGTTGCCATTTTCCCTCGGAGTCAAGATATTCGCGGCACCTTCAGCTTTCGCTGGTAAAGGAGGTCCCCCGGGGTACGAGAGCATCTGCACATGTGACAGGATGATGCATCAGCTTTGTTTAACAGATCATGACCGTGAACACACACACCCACTTACAGAGTCGTTTATCATCCGGCGCGCAACTAGAGCTGAGGGTGTAGACCCCGATTCCACCGTGTGTCACCTAACGGCACGTTTCCGACCCCCGGCCGCGTCACCCGCCGTGGAGGGTCCACTTATCCCGCTTGACTCCAGGCGTTGTAGTCAGTAGGTCACCCCTCGTCATTAGGTGTGTAGGTTGATAAATCTCCGCTGCCAGCAACCTCCGTTTGAGCTCATTCGTCAGCTGATGATGTGATTTTCTCTAGCCCTCTGATGGGGAAGCTAATGTACTAGCTGTCTCTTGTGTTGCCTTCCTTGACCCCTGATTTGCATCCAGTTGTAATTAACATGATTTTTTATAGCTTGGCTTATCGAACCTATTCGCATTTCTGGGCGTTTTCACATTTTCCAGCTGTTCTGTGAAGGCTTCAGAGGTTTTATAGAGCATTATTGAACAGACGGCATCATGGAGACCAAGGAACACAGCAGACGGGTTAGAGAGGATGTAATGGAGAAACGCAAATTAAGGTTAGGTTATAAAACAGTATGCTAGCTTTGAACATCTGTTCTAGCTATTATTTGACAATGGAACTGATGTGACGCAATCGCATACCAAACTTAGTTCTCCATTTTATCTGACAGACCGGTGAAGGAGAACTTTACTCAGAGAAACAGGCAGTGGTGACTCTGGAGGAGCTTCGGAGAAGCTGTCGACAGGACACACGTCACCTGTTCCTCTGACTAGCCTTTCAAACTAGGTGGCAAGGAAGCTACTGTTGAAGCAAAGTCATGAAAATAAGCGATTTACGTTTGGTGGAAGAAGTTGCTCTGCTCAAATGAGAGCAATGTCAAACTTGTTTGCCTCAAAGCAAACTACGCTGAGAGGGAAACCAGCAGGGCTATGTTCAAACAGCAGGTCTTCCTTATTTTCCACTCTTTGAGGTAACAGCCAAACAGCAAATGGCGCTCTGCAGACACCAGGCATTGGCATGTCAAGTGGCACTGAACCTTGGTGTTTCAGCTTCGCCAGCTGCTTTTTCTTTTGAATATTTTAGATATGTTCTGGGAAAATATCTCTAAATTGGCATATTTTCTGCAAAATATGAAGTTACATCCCACAGAAGAATCTGCCAATAGGCGAATCCACAAATACTGAATTGAAAATAGGCGGGGTTCCATAATAGGAGCTGCAGAAGGCTTAAGACTGGGACTGATGTTCATTTTCCAGCAGCATACCAGCCCTAGTCATATTGCTGGACTGGCTTAGATCAAATCACATTCATGTTTTTAGAAATAGTCCTAAATCCAGTTAAACGTGTGGCAGGACTTTAAAACTGCTGCTGGCAGACGCGTTCCATCCAGTCTAAACTTGGGCGACTTTGTAAAGATGATCAGGCAAAACTTCCAGCCTCTGGACGTGTAAAGACGAAGCTGAGTTTCAGCCGTTATGGCAGCCGAGATGCGTTTCATCTAAGCGTCACTGATGGGGGCTGAACACAAAGCCCCCAGATTTCTATTTGTAGAAAGAAAACAAAACCCAGAAACCGAGTTTGGAATTTTTAAAACACAATAATAAAAAGCTGAACCTCCTCCTCTCCTTGTTTTCATCTCTTTTTCTGCATCCCGGCATCACTCATCAGCGTTCGCATTGTTTGAACACCCCTGCCTCCTGTTTCCCTACTTGTTGTCCCCCCCACCCCCAAACTCCTCTCCTCCTTTTTCTTTCCTGAATAATTTCCCGGCGGCGCAGATGGAGGCGGGTGTGCAGGTGTCGAGCATCGCCGTGCGCTCCTCTCTTCCTCCTCTGTGCCGCACACAAATCAGGGACATGCTGTGAAATTATGCAGATATTTAGATTGGAAGCAAAGAACTTTTCTGTTTTTTTTTTTCCCCTCCAAGCGGCTTCACGCATCTCTAGCTCATCCTTTTCATGTCCCGTACAAAGGCGAATCCTTCGCCCGTTTGTGTACAGCCTGTACTGTATTCTCAGAGAACACTGATTGGGACTAAGTGCTTCGTTCTTCCATCAATTTTCCTCCTTAACTGTTTTCAGACTGAAGCTGGAAAGTGGAGCATGACGCAAGAAGGTAGAAAGACGAATGAGGAATTTTATGTCCTCATGCAATAATTGTTAATTGCACACACATATGCTCTGAAACACTGGGTATTCATGGACACCTTGGTAAAATACCTCCTGAAAAATGAGACGTGCAGTTCTTGAACGCTGCTGCCCCCTACGGATCAGAGGCGGCATCGCACTCGCGCCCTAGAATTTTTTTATTTCTTAAAAAAAAAACAAAAAAACAACAACAAAAAAAAGAACACCGAGGATCAGCTCAGCTCTGTGTTTTCGAATTGATCAGGGCGGCCGCTGTCAGACAACGCTCCTCATTATCTCTTCCGATCGGGCTGTTGACTCAGACTTCCCTCAGCCGTCTGCACTCGCGAAAGAGAGAGAGGGAAACAAAGCCCGAGCAGATCACCGCGCTAATGACTTCTCTCACTGTGCAGCGTTGTATTGCTTCGGTCACACCTGCTTGTGAGTCACGTTTCCTCCAACTTCTGCAGGAGAACGTTGGACGTTTTCTTGTTTTGTTAGCACCTGAAGTGATTATTTTACATACTAAAAGTAGTTGGGAAGTGAAAGGAGAACAAAAAAAAAAAGGTTTTCAAATAGTTTTGTAAAAGAAAGTCTGAAAAGTGTGGTGTGTATGTAGTTTAGCTTGTTAGTTTATTTAGAGTAATAAACAATGTGCAAAAAACATTAATAAAAGATTATTTGCACCAAATTTAGCTTAAGCTAGTTTCCATCTGTTATCTTTTAGCGGGTGAGTTCATAAAACAGTCTAATATCTTTGAAAGTTCCCATATACAGTCACTCTACTGTCACTGAAATATATATTTCAGTGACTGTAATATATATTTGAAATATATAGAGTACTAAATGCTAAACCTTTGCTCTATCATCACTAATGCCATGCTAATGCTAAACTGCTAAAGCGCTACGTTCAACCATGTTGATATGATGCTAAAGCAGAGTGCAGTTTGCCACACGGCATCATCAGTGGAGAACCTGAGGAGAGGAAACATAACTGCTGCATAAACAGTTTTCACCCATTTCAAAATAAAAGCACGGATATAAAAGTGTAGCTACTAGAAGAATTGTTAAGTTGACAACCAAACCTTCAGCACTGATGACAAACTCGACTAAAAGTTTACAACACAGACAAATAAATTAGAGATTTAGAATTTATCGGAAAAAATTAAAATAATGATAATTTGGGGGAAGCTAGATGTGGTAAGTATTTTCAAAATTAGCAAAAACCCTAAAGTGCTAACGAAAAATTAGCTGCTCTACTGGCGGATTCGCATTAACTCTGAAGGAGCTGGAGAGATTCTCAGCTCAAAGGGGGAGAATCTGTTGACAGGAAAACTTTAATGAAACGAGATCAAAACTGGACTTTTTTTTTGCTCCGTATGGAGGATGTTTTACAAAAAACCGACTCTGCCCATTACCCTGAACACAACATCCTTATTCAAAAACGCTACCGGGGTTCTGCCACGTTGTGGACGGATTGGTTTCTACAGCAGGGTTACGGATGCTGGTCAGAGTTCCTGGGAGGATGGGTGGAGGAAAATACAACACAATACATGAAGAAAACCTGCGTTAGAATGGCCTAGTTAAAGCACAGTCTGATTGAGCTGGAGCATTTTTTCGAAGAACAGGCGAAAATTTTAGTTCCTAGATGTTGCATTGGATTTTAATTAGTGGGCTTATTATTCACTTTAATAGTGAATAATAATGATAATAGTAAATAAGTTGACATATTTATCATTTTCCTTCCAGTTCACAACTATACCTTATTTGTCATATAAAATCCCAATAAAAGACTTTCTTTTTTTTTTCTGGTTGTAAAGTAACAATATGGGATAAAGTATATGCGGCACTGTATATACTGTATGTGCTTCTGGGTTTCAGATTAGCTGGGAAGCTCATCTGGAGCTCAGCTGCAGCACCGGGTGCCTCGCTGGCACTAATTGCACATTCTCATCAGTACATTGGCTTAATTATATGTGTCTGTTTCCTCAACTGCAGAAACCGAAAATATGGCAAGAACGACGAGAGCAGAAAGAAAGAAAGAAAATTTTAAAAAAGTCCTTTGCGAAGCACTGCGTTAAAGAAATAATATTAAAAAAACCAATGTGCGTGTCTTATCTTAGACTCTTGCAATGCTCAGAGTATATGGAGGTGGAGAGAGAGAGAGAGAGAGAGAGCGAGCGAGCGCTCCAGGCATCCCTTCTCCATCTGGTCTCATCTGTACAGTAGTGACCTAACCGCTTGCTGCACAAACACAGAGGCCCATGCGGATCACTAACACCCTGTCCTATGTGCTGCAGCGTGATCAGCAGAGCCCCAGGGCTGAAGCTGGTGGTGGAGACACTGATGTCGTCACTCAAGCCTATCGGGAACATCGTCGTCATCTGCTGTGCCTTCTTCATTATCTTTGGCATCCTTGGAGTCCAGGTGAGAGGAAAGGGCGCTACAACAAGCTTCAGTGCTCACGGTTAGCAACGTTACATCATACAGGATCAAGGTTTCCCCTAGAAAACTTGCTAAGCCCAGTGGTTGGGTGCTAGGGCAGTCATTCATCCGTCGTGTTTTTGAGTTAAAAATATATATGAAGTTGACAGGAAATTTGAAAATATCATACGATCAATATGTGTTATATGTGTTACAGGTCGATTAATAGCTGAACACCAACTATAAAGTCTTAAAAAATGCAAACATTTAAGAAAAAAACTTAAATAAATAAGCAATGCTTAGCCTGGTGGGGGCATAAGTAAAACCTGGTGGCCTGCCAGGCTTGTAATGCCCTGCAGGATCACAGAAAAGTCCTTTGTTGTCTTGCAAATGCAACAAATTCTAGTTTCTACATATGTTCTCTTCAATATACATTATTCATGGGCATTACCTCTTAGATCTGAGTGAAGAGTGCAAAGCCAAGTATCTCCCCGTACCAATAGGGACCGGGCCTTTGGAGCAGTTTGAGCTTCTGTTTATCCTTCATCAGTGTGCTAATGACCATAAACCATCTGTCCAAGTAAAGTCATGAAACATTACTGGCTGTGAGGATACCATGAGGAATACTGAATCTTCTCCTCATTTCTGAGGCCTTTCTAGCCAAAGATGTGCATTTTATTTGGCCAAATATTTCTACGAAGCAGGGGTTGATTAATTTTGTATAAGCTTTCCTACATATCACCTGCTTTAGACCCTAAAATTAAAAGCTAACTTCAAGGTTACAGTGCCTTGACCTCAGTCACCTAAACAGCTTTGCTGGGCCCTGCTCTGACCAGAGATCCCATTAAAATCTCAACTTCCTGTATTGATTTCACAGTCTGAAACAAATCAAGTGTGCATTTTCTCAGTGAAAACAATCCTTCTCTGAAAGGGCTTTCCTTCCACTGAACGCTGGAACCGAACCCAACAGTTGTGAAGTGGCTTCATGGATGTTTTGTGTTTTTTCTCCGTAGCTTTTCAAGGGGAAGTTCTATGTGTGTCAGGGGGAGGATGTGAGGAACATAACCAACAGGACAGACTGCGAGGGGGCCCACTACAAATGGGTCCGGCACAAGTACAACTTTGACAACCTGGGGCAGGTAGGAAACCCCATACCCATAACCTGTAACTCTTAAGCTTAAAACCAGGTTGATGCTGATACCGATAACTGACCACGCTTACCACCAACTCTATTGTATAACAATGTTACTCTGCTTTCTTGTTTGAGGTCTCCCAGGAGGAAGCTTAGCTCAGCCAGTCTTATTGTTGTCTGTATCCAATAGTTGTTCGATTCTGTGGCACAAGCACTTCTAACTGACCTGGTTTCAGTAGGAAACCTAGAGGAACTTTCGTGAACTGAAATTTCCATCAGGGAAAGAAGAAATTGAGTGTTATTATTGGGTTCTATTTCCAAACATTGAATAAACTTGCTTGGTAGACTTGGTTTGACTGAGGGGCTTCTGCTGTCAAAGACTTCACTGTGAACTTCTACATATTCTTAAATATTACTCAAAGGTGAGTTCTTTAGGCCTTTATTAAATAACAAAACACAAGCCCATTCCCCAGTCCAAATAAAGTCCTTGGTTGAGACCTTCTTTCAGCATCATATACAACAAACCCAAAACCTACTTCAAGCTATTGCTGGCAGTACTGTGTGGGGTATTATGGGTCGTCAGCTCCAGGCCTCCAGGGCTGCTGGTGTCCTGCAGCGTTTAGATGTATCTCTGCTTCAACACATCCGAGTCTAATAGTGAGGTCATTAGCAGGAGTCTGGAGAACTTGACAGAATACAGAGGAAGTTATTCAGCCAATCGATTTAGGTGTGTTAGTCTAGGGACACATCTAAAAGTTGCAGGACAATGGCTCCCAAGGACTGATTTGAAGATCCCTCTTCTAGCGTTGACTTTACTGACTTTGAGATGTGATGATGGCATTGTAAACCTAAAAAAAATAGAAGATTGTGCACATTTAATACAAATTCCCTCTTTTGCTTTTCTGTCAGGCATTGATGTCTCTTTTTGTACTGGCCTCAAAAGACGGATGGGTGGATATCATGTATGACGGCCTTGATGCTGTAGGAGTTGATCAACAGGTAAGTATCTTAAGATGTTGACAGAACTAATGCTTGTGGTTAGTTTGACTCTTTGCCAGTTCCTACAACAATTTTGAACCTACAGTTTTCATAACCATGGAAAAAACACCTTGTATTCATGTTCTTTAGCCATTCTGTTACAAAAGTAATTGTAACTTTTGTCTTTATTTCATGAAGCCTCTGGGAAACTAAAATGATTCCCTTTTTCTTGTGTATTCCAGCCAATAATGAACTACAATCCATGGATGCTGCTCTACTTCATCTCCTTCCTCCTGATCGTGGCCTTTTTTGTGCTCAACATGTTCGTGGGCGTGGTGGTGGAGAACTTCCACAAGTGTCGGCGCCACCAGGAGGCCGAGGAGGCCAAACGCAGGGAGGAGAAGAGACTGAAAAGAATGGAGAAAAAGAGACGGAGTAAGGAGAAGGAGCTGGCTGGTCGGTAGTCTTTCCACATCTTTCTGAGTCCTGCTTGAATTTGAGCTTGAGCCTTTTTATTTTTTTCTTTCCTTTTGCTTTTTAATTTGGTTTGGCCGAATCTAGAAGAACGCAATTAGTGAGCTAGCGCCAATCATAGTTGCTACTGTGCGGTAGAACCTTCCCTTTCTATTGACAATCCTCTTCCCCTTTTCCTTTAGATCCTCCCTCCCCCAGGATAGTTTGCAATGTAGTCCTGTGGTCATCTGCTCTGGCTCTGTAGACCTAACCACAGACTTTGGTTGCTCTCCTTCAATACTGGCATCAGGTTTGTCACGTTGGTTGTTGAGAAAAGCTCCCAAAGTTGGATGGTCTACAGAGTTAGAGCAGCTGACCACTGGAGTTCCCCCGTCACTCCTTTCCCACTGCCCTTACCTTGCCTGGTCTACCGTAGACGTCGTGCTTGGGATGGCCCTTTGAAGCATGCCCAGTGGGTGCTGAAATACAGGGCTTGCATGGTAGAAGATACACAGAGCTAGAGGGAGGGGGACTTGTTGGATAATAAATCAGGTGAGCTCCCCCCTCCCTTCCTCTCTTCTGCATGTGGTTTAGTACAGCCGCAGGGGGCAAGGGTGGAACCACAATCTGGACGCTACGCCTTAGCCGAGATGTGGGATCACTGCAGAGGAGATTTGTAGGGCTGAGAGCTCATTTCCCCTCCCCTGCGGCTGTATAGGAGATCATAACAAACTGCCTGTTTTGAGTTTTGCCCTTTCCACTGCTTCCTACACCTTTAAAAAATGTGGTGCTAGCTCACGCTAGCCTTAGCCTTGTTTTGAATCAAGCGCCTGAATTCATGGTATTGTATCAGAAATGCACCGATGAGAATTTTGCTGCCAACTTTCTATTTTGTGCTTTTTGTAAAGTTTTGATCGGGAGATAGGATTTGGACTTCAGTCCAAAGTAACTTAGTCAAAGTAATCAACACTATTTTCTGAGTGACGTAACTCTACAACCTGCCTATTCAGGGATTTTGTTTTTTTGTACAGCAGATCTGAAATATTTGAATGAAAAGCTGAAATGATTACATTCAATGCTACTCGACATTCTACTGGCTGGCATTTTGAAAGCAACCAATCCAGGAGTACCATTTATTTTCCTTGGTGCTGATTAGCTATATCCTGAAGATTGAAAATAAGGAACACTGTTGATATTAGCTCCTGTGGTTGTGCTAAAATGGTTTCCAATGTGCGTAGTAATGCATATTAAAGTATATTCCCTGTCTGAATGATCAAATTAGGGAGTTATAAGCATATTTAGTGAAGGTCTCAAATGTTCATGGATTTTCACTGTTTCAAAAAACCTGATATTGTGGATACAGCAGACATGTCTATTCTTTTAAGTGTTTTAGGTACTTTTTTTTTTTTACCTTACTTTAATACCGTACTCATAACAAAAATGGTTAATTTTAAGTTTTCGTTCGCACTGTCATGACTGTCTAGTGCTAACCTAATAAGATGGCTTCAATGAATGGAAAAAGATCCAATTTTAGAGTTTGAGAAGTTGACTATGCTAACTATAGCCAATCAACAACCAATTTCTCTCGGTGCATTTCTGTATCTTACCTCATATTTTAAAGGTGCTTTCTTTTTTATTACTTGGTACAAGGAGCAGTGGACACAAATAGTTACTTAGAGCTTACAGTTTATAGATCTCTCCTGTATGATAAGCTAAGTTCTTGAGAAATACAGATGGAAAATTAATCTTCCTTTTACAGAAGGTGTCTGACAAGAGTATCTGACCAATTGAGAAAACTCCCCTTTCACACACAGAATACATACGCAAACGTTGTGTTGGAAGGACGGGCATCTTTTATTTTTTCTTCTCTCACATCTACAGTTTGTTCCTTTTTGAATATCTTTGCCCGATTTTGAGATGGACGTTGCGCCTCCCCTCATACAACCGTTTCGAAAGATGGTTTCTTAGCAGTGTGTCACCACAGAAAGCCACGGTTACCTGCAGATGTCGAAGAGTTACAGGGGTAACTGGACAAGACGTTGGGTATACAGTAGGTAGCTGAAAACGTCCACCTTGTGAAAGTTCTGGGAACAAATTGACAACATTGATCGGAAGAACTGGACTCAGAATAACTGGAAAGACCTAACACAGGCACATAAACCAGCTAAAATCTTTCATCGCTTCCTTCTAACCTTACTCCATCCCTCTTTCCCTCTTTCTCTCTCTTTAACTCTCTCTCTCTCTCTCTTTTCAAACACTCAGTCCATCCTTCCTTCCTTGCTTTCTTCAGCCTCTGACTAACACGGTCTCATTCCTCTAGATTTATTGGTTCCGGGGGTGAGTTGGGCCCTCTCTGACGGCACACTGAAAGGTACAGAGTTTCCAGCATGTTGTATGTGTCCCCTTGAACACCCTACCCCCCCTGCTGCCACCGACCACGACCACCCACCATGGTGGCTAGGGTTCTAATTTCAGTGATCACGGGAGGTAGGGCCCCATCCTGCGTCGCCGCCCCCCTGCCTCTCTCCCATCAGCCTTCAATCCGCTGGACATACTGTTACCTGTTTTCTCTGTCGTGGCTTTGTCTTTCACAGCTGCTCCACTCTTGCCTGCGATCCATCCACTGTCCACAGCACCGCACCGCAGCTTCTCCACCGTAATGAACGAACAAAGACCTTAGCTAATTTGATCCAGCCTAAGACGGACTGGGTTGAGACAGGGACAGTTTGGTAATGGGAAACAACTAGAGGAACTTTGACTTTAAGCATTGATTGACCTCTTATATTTTAAATATGTGGTTTGAGTGATCTTCTTTCAGAAGATGCGCAGAAACAATAACAATGATTTTGTACCGCACGGGAACTTGTACACTCACATCTTGTAGTCAGGAAACATGGCCATTTTTTTTTCTAAAGTAAGTTCTTTGCTTTTGATTTCGATGGCATTTCAGTCATTGAGGGTTCTGGTGTATTGCTCCCTTATTTGAGTACCAATTGTCCCAGCAACAAAGCAAATGTCTTATCAAATGTGCGCAACTTCACAAATCGATACGATACATTTCTGTGGCCAGTTGTGTTTCATCGATATCCGTTTTCCTTCTGAGATGAACTGATTTTTAGAACAATGTTGCTTCCGAATTAAATGCATTGCAGTTGCATGAATGATTGGAATTTGCTTATTGTTTTGTTCAGGATGGCAACGATTGTCATCACTTGTCACCCAGAAGCTACTTTTCAGAATTTCACACAACCTGTAATGAGACATATTCATTACTAGAGGCTTGTATGGGAATATAACAAACATTGACATCTCACAAACATTTTGAAGTAAAAGACAACTTTTTACTGTAATTTTATATGCACAGCAACCATGTTGGATTTTGAGATTGAGGAATAAAGTTGACTTTTAAGCAGAAAATTGGATGCAAAGGGAACCATTAGTACTATGATAACAGTGCAGTGAACTGAAGTTAAATGGCCAGTTTAACTAAAAAAGAATGACATAACTATTTGTATATTGGTTATTTATTATTTAACTAGAATCGTTGGATGTAACTGAACTCAATTACTTTTTCATTTGACTTCATAAATACCCATTACTCTGTAGTTCTTCTCTTTAGCTACATTTAGCTTAGCAAATCTAATCTTATCATAATTTAGCTTCATTTAGCATGACTTTGTATATATTTAATTAAATCTTACATAAGCTAATCTTTAAGCAATCTTAGCTCTGTTTATAAGGAAGCTAATTAGCATATATTAGCATTCCCTTCTTCATATCTTGCTAACAAGCAGCCAGTTGCTAGCTAATTATATGTTTGAGTTTAATTTAGCCTAAAATATTTCAGTCCAGTTTCCCCTTGGGCAAAATAATGTCTGAGTTTGGTTTATAAACTAAGATAATTACCTTAACTTGACTTATTTGTCCTTCACTTCTTACCATTTTGCTTGTAAGCAACCAGATTCTCTCCTTAATCATCAAGTGCTTCTACAGTATCAATTACAGGAGGCAGACTAGTCGATGTATCATATTTGATGGTCTGTAAAAGAACACAAAACATTTCTAAATTAAATGCTTAAATCTTACGGACAGTAAGTTTTATGAAGTCTGTAACTCACCTGTCACACTTTAATTTAATTCAACAAAACATTGAAAAAGCTATAAATTGTACATTGATACCTGTGATAGTTTTATAAGAAGTAATCTTGCAGCTATTCAAGTGATTAGACCAGGTGGTCAGTAGCTGCTGTAAATACAGTATATGTAAATCAATTCATTATGATCACCTCGAGGTGGACAGACAAAGTTATTATCTGTGTTATGCTTCTCATTTTTGCCCATGAGCAGCGTTTTGCAACAGTTACTGGTTGGTCTTCTTCAGCACTACCAGAACACACACCTAGCAGCATCATCAGAGCCCGTTTCTATAGCAATCCACTCAAGGTACTGCTATGATAGATGGAATCCACAGACAAGTATCTCCAATAATAACAATCCTATCAATAGCTCAGCGTTATGAATGGTTTGCGGTAGCGTGCCGACAGCGTTGTGCCTATGAGGGCGCGAGTGTGTGTGTGTCTAAGCAGGCGCACATTCTTGGAAAGGAAATTTGACCGCTAGTTCAAACGCCTGCGTGTGTGTGTGTGTGTGTGTGTTTGTGTGTATATGTGAGCATGTCAGAGAGCAGATGGCTGCAGAACAGGTCGTAAAATATGCAGGAGCAGCCAGCCTCGTCCTCTGATCCTCGCTCCATCTCTGTCTAGATTTCTGTCTGAGAGGCAGACCGCCGCAGCCATCTGATTCTTAAATGCAACATTTAGCCTCAGGGGAGAGCTCCTTTGCTACATTCTAACACTTTTTTTTTTTTTTTTAAACACGTGTAATTATGAAAGTGACGACACAAGACGACACACCAAACACAGCGCCCACGCAGCCTGTTACTTGCGAGGTTGTGTTTGGGGTCTGGACTCCACCACAACCCCGTTGTGTGCGAACTGTTACCCGCACTCCCAGAATAACGCTTCAGTGTGTGTGTGTGTGTGTGTGTGTGTGTGTGTGTGTGTGGGTGCACATGTGTCCTGGCTGTGAACGCAGTGTGTTTTTTGGGTCTGGACTCTTATCTTTAGTTCGCACTGTGCTTGGAGCAGCAATTTGTGGAGCACAGAAGGGAGGAGAAGAACAAAAGGAGTGAGGATGGTGTAGGAAGAGCATTTATTTGGATTCATCACAGAGGAACGAGGGATTACACAAACAGACATGGGAACTGTGACTAAAGAAGGCAGCAGTGACCCAAAGCAAACATTACCTAATCTCACTTTACGTCACACAAATGGTTAAGATGTCTAGAGCTAAAGGTGAAACTTAGCTGTCTGATTAGTTTGGCTAATGAATATTTGGTCACTTGGGGGCTGACAATTTGCTTATCGTAACTAATATAGCTTAATTTAGCATATTTGATCTTATCTTACTTTATTGCTTATCTCGTTGCTAATTTTTTCAATTTTTTTTTTTTTTTTTTTTACATTTAGACTTTCTCATAATCTTTTAAAGTGCAACTGAATAGTATTTCCTAAGAGCTGCTAGAACATTTGGTGTCCAGAACTTGACAAGTTACAGCTAATCAGTTTTATTTGTGCAGCACATTTCAGTTCAAAGTGAAAACGAAACCCAGTGACCGAGCAGAAAAGAAACACTGCATGATGGCACTGAAATAAAGAGAATAAAAGGCTGCAGTCCAGACTAGGATTAATCTATCTCCACTTATTATTAATCAAAGGCAACTCTAAGCAATTATAATGTGCCTCATTGGGTTGCTGCACCTCTGCAACAAGTTGGTAAATTGTTGGTTCCCCCTAGCACCACTAAAACACACACTCTACAGTCCAAAATGAAAGCGTAGGTATGTGCGAAACAACTCAAAAGTCCATTAACGACGTCACTTCGTCTATTAGCCTGAACGCATAAGGATAAACGCAAGGCAGCCGATGCTGATCCCTCGCTCTAACTGGGTCAGAGCTAACAGAGATGAATCTGCCGGAAGTTTCTCATTGCCCCTCTTTCTTTCTTCTATTCCTCTGTCGCCGCACTGTAATTAATAACAGATGTTCTTTGGGTAAAAGATGAATAAATGAGGAGGGTGAGTGGGTGCTGGTACAGAGGCAAGAAAACCTCAGATCAGCGCGGAACGCGGAGAGAGACGGTGACATACCTCAGCATGTCGCCTCTGAAATTAGCAGCCTAGGCCTGCAAACAGTGGATGGCACAAGGTGTAGGCAGCAGCACTAAGGGGAGTGTTAAATGTGACAAAACAAAGTAAAAGTGATCAGCAATTAAACGCTGCGTAAGAGCAACCGTTTTAGGTTTGTGTTAGTTGAAGTAGGTCAAGTTCTCCTTTCCCTTAAACAGACAAACTTCATCTTCAGTTGTCGTACTGCCATCATATCCCATCATGTGTATTTGTCAGCTGAACCTGATTTGCTTGTCAAACTGTCTACGAAAGAGACCAACAACTGATGGAAAAATCCAAAGTAGCGTAATGGCAGATAAAAAAAAAAAACATACTCAGCATTGTTCAAGGTTTTAAAGCAATTTGTGTTTTACAGTTGAATTATTTAGCTTGACATGTGTGGTTGGAAGAGACAATGCACTGACAACATCTTGAATTAATGTTTCATGTTGAAACATGTCTCCATGAATATTTCAGTGGCTGCCTAAAGAAAAAAAAAACATCATAACAAAAAGCAGCCTTATTGTGTAGGGTTGTTGTTATTAAAGCGCTGTATTAAATTCACTACTGTCTCATGTTTTCAGTTGTCATTTGAAGATTAGTGGGAAAACTGAGTGCAGTAGAAATGTCTCCACTGCTGATATTTGTCGTCTTCAATATTTGTTCACCAAGTTGAACAGAGAAGATATTGTGAAAAAGGAAGTGGGACAAATACACTGCCCTGAGGTACACCAGCAATCAGTTAATGAAATGATGTTCGTCTTGGAGTAGTGTCCTAAAAACACTTTTATTTTCACATTTCCAACGTAAAAGTTTACTTTACTGCCTTTTTAAAATTCACAAATTCTACTCTTTCACTTTGACACAATTATATAAGTATATGGACAGCGAGTTGTTCCAAAATTAGATTTAAATATTGAAATAAATTGGTGGCTTGATAAGGTAATTAATTTGCCCTCTACTTCACCCAAAAAATCATCTTAATGGATTATACAGTGTAACATAGATCAGTATTTGTAATTTTAGTAGTTTAAGGAATACCACTATTATGTAATATTTTTTATTTTATTTCCAGTCTTATTGTCTTGTCATATTATTTAAATTGTCAAATTTTTTAATAATCTGCATTTTTTTATTGTCACATTTTAATTCTATAGAAAAAAAAGATTTTTTAGTATCTTTTTTTTAATTACTGTGTTTTTTGGGGGGGGGGGGAGATTTCAGTCATACCCAAGCAGTGGATACGCATATAACTTCAGCAAATATCTAATCCTGGAATGTTTTTGGTCTCTACCTTTAACTCACTTTAGTTTTTAACATTTCTGGAAACCGTTTCTGTGATTCTGTGAAGCATTTGTGCGTCTTCTGCTGTGTTTGCTGCAACAGGAGAACCTCTTGTTGGGATTTAATCCCAGATTAAATAATGTTAAGTAAGTCTTGCTTTGTGTGTCAGAAAGTTGCATTATGACATTACAACAACCTTTGCATAAAAGCACAACAGTCTCATGTCATTGTAGTATTTCCACAATTTAAAACAAAAATATATAGCATGAGCTCATTTCTATTCGGACGCAACAGTGAAGTTGATTTTTCAGTTAAAATTGATTTCACCATTCATTTATTTCAACATTTATGTATGGACTTGAGCAAAAAAAAAATATATAAAACTGATTACATTTGGTAGTCAAGTATCCTTTGCAAAGAATCTCATTCCCTTTAGCTGTTCTGGTCCTCAGAGCATTGAGCCTGAAACCTAACAGCTTTTGTTTTGAGAAAAGTGTAGCAGCCCTTGTTAATCCATCTGACCAGCAGTGTTCAGCACCAGGTAGGAGAAGGCTTTCTATGGCATTTCATAAAAGTTTTTAGTCGTTTTCAAACTGTATACTTTTTAAAAACTTGGTATACCGGTAACCGTCCTACAGTATATCTAGTAAGTCCTCTTGTGGAACTGTAATAGATTATATATTTGTCTCTCTAGATGATGTCTTTCTGGTTTTAGAGTGATAAAGGTCAGACTGCGGGTAAAAATTTTAAAAAATCTAATAAAAATGGACTGAGTTAAAATAAGAAAGGCACAGACGCTCTCATTCTGCGGTTTACCAGCTTCCCATCGGTCTGTATCTTGTTGCGCTGTTTTTCTCGTTAGTCCGCCCTGCCATCCACTCTATCCAATCACTTGCTTTCACTCATTTCAATGAGTCCATCCAGCTCAAGTATGACTCAGAAAGGTGTGTCAGTCTGCCGTGTGTGTGTGCGCGCGCGTGTGTGTGCGTGCTCATGTGCATTCAGAAGTGCCGATGAGAGAGTGTGTTTTCACACCCTGTCATTTTGAACAATGTCACATTTTTCTTGTTTCTTTACCTCTTTTCTTCCGGACTCCACAATTTGCTCTGCTCTCTTGTCGTTTGTTTCCAACCCTTTCTCCTCTCTCTTGGACTTTTTTTAAGTGAGACAGCAGAGCAATCTGGAAAATCGGTTAAATAATTGTTTGGGTTGTGTTTTTTTATTTATTTGTTTGTTTATTTGTTTTTTGCTTCCAGTAACTGTTTCCGTTGACAGTTGTCTTTTTCTTTTAGACTCAGTGTTTGCTGGATTTCAGAATTGGACATTGTTTCCTTGACAATGAAGGTCAAAGCACATTCCCTGGCAGACACTGAGTTTTGAGATTTAATATTGAGCCATTCGTTACGAAGGACGGGAGCATAAAAGCAGCCGTCGCATTAAACCAAAAGGGTGCCTGGCAATTATGGGAAATCATTGTTGTTTAGCTCTTTTTTTGTTTGGCTATCTAAGCATTAAGATGCACTGGTGCTGCTTTTATCTCCGTTGCCCTTCTCAAATCTTTCCATCCATTTCATCTGTCATCCAAGCTCTAAATATTACGTTCCTGCCAATCCCTATCCCTCATTCATTTTCCGGATCCCCCATTAATCCACACTTCCTGATTCATGAAAATGTGATCGGACAACCAGACCCAACCAGCGCCTTCAGCCGCTTTTAGAGCAGCAGCCATTTTACCCAATGAATCGACCATTGGGATTGAGATTCATTGTAAGATCCTCGTTTCGACCGAGTGGCCAACTCAACATCCTTTCCACTTCACAGCTTATTCTAGACACCTTTTGCACAGTCACAACAGTAGCTCTGGTTCCAGACCCATTTCCAACATACTCAATCCAAACCAATGTGCTCTCACTCACACGATCACGGTACACTCATAGTGCTGTGGTGTGCTTACTCATCGGTCCAACAACCAATGAGGAGCCTTACTGTGTCTGTATTTCCCAAAAAAAAGAAAAACGACCACCTCAGAAATGTATGCTATTATGTTTTTGAGAGTGGCCATGTGCAAAAGCAACCCGTACGCCTAATCCTCGGCACCTCACATTTTCCCCCGTGAAGGGAAGCATTGACGATAAAAGTGGGGGAATGTGTACAGGAGTTGTGGCTGTTCAGGTTGCTTTTGGACAGGGAATGTTTCTCTGTTTCCTCTAACTGTTCTTCCTTGCTATTTGACAGACCTTTCAACACATTACGAAAAAGGAGGTTTTAGATCTCGTTCGAAATGAGCAAATCTAAATTTGTAGGTCGATGGAACAGGTCTGCTTGAAGTTCCAGTTGAACTACAGATGAGTCATGGTGAAATCTCATGACACAAGCTGGATGTTGTGACATGTCAGTGGGACTGGCGTTACCTTTTCCAGTTTTCAGCAGCCTGCCCTAACGATTCACTTTGTTGTTGGCGGTGTGGTGAGTTGTTGTAGGAACACAGTTTTTGAAATATTCTCCTGCCAATCAAGTGGAATTGATTCTTTCACAGACAAAAGCAGAGAAACAGCACAGGATTAAGGAATATGATGTTGTAAATGTAGGGGAGTCAATAGTCTCGGTGTTGATGGACTTGATTTAGCAATGGCAATTGCCCTTTGCAACCAGCCATTCCTAAGATGTAGCATTTTGGATACTTAGGCATTGAGCTCTTCATTAGGTTAACTGAATTCAGCCTCCTACACTTGCATTGACACTATGTTGGGTTCCATTGAATTACAAAAAAATTTTGGGCAATTTCGAAAAAGTTTTTGCGCTAGGATGAGGTGGTTTCTCGACTGTATTGAAAACGGCAATAGAAACAGTTTTTTCATATTGTACAAGTCATTTGGTCAACAACCAGATGTTGGGACAACTGGTTGTCCTAACATGGCAGGACAAAAAGGACGACAAGAAGTGGTTGAAGGATGATGGTGCGGTATGTTTTTCAATGATTTATCGGGTGAACAAATTTAATCATGTGTTATTAGAGACAAAGATTATCGATGTCACACAGAGTTCGCAGTTGAGTCTACATTATACCAGAAGGGACGACCTAGTCACCGGAGACTTTTTAAGGAAGAACTAGTCTTTTTAAGTGTTTGTTACCAACCACAAACCTAAAGGCTGGCTTGGTGCGGACGCCACTAGAGTGACCATCTCTACCACTGGTTCAAATCAATAAATGAATTACTTTTTAGCTCCTGTACGTTTTTGCAGTACAGTTAACAAACACAGTGGGATCTAAAACTCCTTTCAATGGTTGTACTAGATCAGGGGTCACCAACTCCAGTCCTCCAGGGCTACCATCCTGCAACTTTTAGATTCACCTCTGCTCCAAAATGTCTGAATTCCCTCACCAGCATTCATTCCTCTCTGCAATAGGCTGGAAACGAGCAGTTTATTTGATCCAGGTGTGTTTGAGCAGAGATGCATCTAAAAGTTACAGGATGGTAGCCCTGGAGGACTGGAGTTGGTGACCCCTGTCCTAGATGGTCTGTCAAATATTCTTTGACTTTGTGTGAAATTTAAAAGTGAAAATACAGGGAACAGGTGCAACCATCGCAGAGAGGTTAACCCTGACCTCTTTGTGTGTTTGCACTTGCTTCCCTTTGTTTCAGAAATTATATCCAACTTTTGAGAGAAGGCTTCACCGGCCACATCAGTGAAGGAACTGAGTAAGTAGAAGGGGTAAAAGTGGGAGCAGGAGGTCTTATTTTATTAATCTTCCTATAAAATTTCCTAATGTAATTTTAAAAAAAAAAGAAGCACAGCCTTCTTTAGGGAGAGTGACTTTCTATTTGTGGAAGAGGAAAGGCCAGTGAAGTGAGAGCAGCAGAGGTTTGGTTCTGAAACCTTGACCTCACCTCTCTTTGTTCACTCACTCCCAAGACTAGTTAAGTTGTTGTCGGACAAAAAAAAGAAAACTTTCTTCTCCCACATCCCCCTGTTTCTTGTTTGGCCTCACCCTCTCTGCTCTGTTCATAATACAGGGCTGATTTAGGGCTGAACGACTTTCCTGTTTGCTTCATCACACAATTAGGATTGAAGACAACCACGACTCTGGACTTCCCAATCCCACAATAAACACTTTTCCCTGCCGCAGAGCAACGTAATTGGGGCAGCTGCAGGGTAAAACATAACTCCGTCTTATGCAATAGAGTTAGATGCATGAGAAGTGAACCAGTTGCATCTGTCTCTGTCTGCCTTAGCTCGCCTCGCACCTGCAAGACAGTAAGTAGAGCAGAGTAAGAGTAATGCCCGCAGTTCAGGAGATGATGAAGAATCTTGTGAATACGAACTCCCAGTGAAAGAGCCACGCTGTTGCATCCAGCAACAGTTCCACCCACCTGCTCAGATTTAAAGCCGCTCCCGCAGACGTTTCCAAGACGCCCTAAATCTCCTCGGTCTGCCCAGCGGCCATGTTGTGTCACGTCTAAAATTATAGGCCTGTTTATAGAGAGCATCTGACAAGATGAGAAAGTGTTGGTGTCGCGTTCAAATCAGGTTCGGAGGTGCTGAGGAGCATAGCACATGACAAAGTATGTCAGCAAGCTGAGGTGCCTTTTATTTTAGGAGTCTGAGCACACCGGAGGCCGTATTGTTTCCTCTGTTTCTGGCACGCACATCTCCCCAGGTGTTCAGCGATGGGCAAACTCCACAGCCAGCCGCCCGGCGGTTCACCCCACGTGACTGCTGTTCAGGTGGACCTCCCCTGTCGTCCATATCGATAATTACCAGCAAGGACAAAATTAGCTGTCAGCAGCCGTGACCCGAAAACCAAAATTTCAAATAATTAAGTTGACAGCACTCAGAGGAGGTAAAACTCCAGCCCTATAAGGTCAGCATCTCTTCATTATTTATTTCAAAAATATCCATGGAAATAAAACGTCACAAATTGATTCACTTAGTTACTCATATTCACTGTCATTCATGTTTTATTTTATTTAAATTTTTCCTTAAATCTAATGTAATGTGTAAACGGTAACAGGAGTCTTTCAGTTGTTTTACTTTCTCCATGTCAGTAACAATCAAAATCTTTTCCCCTGAGCATTTAGATTGAAAGCTTTCAAATATTCACTACGGTATGATCATTCCTCTTTAAATTATTTAATTAACAAAAAGGCTACTCCGCTCATCTAATATTAGGCCCATAAAGACTCTTTTTGAACAAGTCTTAACATTTTTTAGGCAAAATTGAGTTCTAAATTATTCACACCCCTGGCAGATTTAAAATTGCGTTCACTCAACCAAGAAGTCTGTCTCTGGCCCAAAAAGAGAACAGACAGTAAAGCAAGGTAAAAGAAGTACCAGACTTCTATATGAAATTATTTGGAACCTTTTCTGTAATCAATAGTGACGTTTTTATTGGCATTATAGCAAACATACTCCTGTCATTTTGACAATTTATCTTTGATTAGTTCAAAGTCTACAAAGTTGCAAGAGCTTCTTGCTATCATCCTCGTCCACAGATTCTCTATTAGACTGAAGTCAAGGTCTCTTAAAAATGCTAATATTACCTCCACTCAGAAGAAACAAGTAGGTCAAATGAGAAAAAAACAAAAACAAACTTTAACCCTAAATCTACATGGGCATGCAAAATGTTGGGCAAAGCTGTATATTGGCTTGCTAACCTGTAAATAATTTAGTAGCCTACTGTGAATTTGGTGGCCTCTTATTTACTACTTACTATTAGCTTACTGGGCTATTTTAAGCTTATTGTTTTAGTTTGCTATCCTACTGTTAGCCTGTTTGCCTTCTATTAACAAGTATTAGTTTTGTAGCCTACTAGTTTGTAGGTCTACTGTTAGCCTTTTATCCCTATAATCGTCTCTTAGGTAATTAAGTTATTGCTAGTTGTTTTGTTTGCCATACAATTTATTTGTTTGGTTTCTAGTAGCTTGTTAGCTTACTGTTAACTCATTAAAATATTGCTAGACTCTTAGTTTACTTTTAGTCTCTTAGCCTTTGTTTGTTTGCTAACTAATACCTCCTTAGCCCAGTAATAATTGATCAAAATTAAAATTAGCTTGGTCATCTGCTATTATTTTTGATAGTCTATTGGCTTTTTAGCCTGGAATTTGCTTTTTAAAATACTATTAGAATACTAGTTACTTGTGTAGCCAACTTACTATTAGCTTCCTAGCATGCTATTAGATGACTAGTTTTTATTAGCTAACCATTTAGCCTCAAAATAGGTCTGTTATTGACACTTTGTGACATAAAACTAATTAAATAGGTGAACATGAATGTAGTTAATTTAGTTTACATTACATTATTGTATTTTACTCATCAGTATGCTGTTATTAGATTGGTACAACTTTTCAAAACAACAGAGTGAGAATCTTAATTTCTTTAGCTAAAGCACTTAGTAACAAGTAAACAAACAACAACAAAAAAAAGTAAAAACAGCACTATTCCTATGAGAAAATCTTCCCTGCCCCAGTTTTGTCCAAACTTAATAGGTGCGACTGTTTCTCACTAGAGAAAACTTCCCATTAAGAACATCAGATTTGGAGCGCAGACTGGAAGGCCGTGTTGGTTCTTTCTATAGATCCTGCTAAGTAAGCCTTTCTGTCTCATTACCTGATTTATGAGTGGCGTTCCTTGGACTGGATGGGGAACCCTCTAGGTGCACACCAGGAACCACACACACATACACACTCCTGGGAATCATCTCAGACCTACACAGCTGCTGCCACAGTAACTGGCCAGATGGGTTGCTACACTCGAGATCCAAAGGACTTCTGTCTTTTAATCAACTGGTTCAATTATATTCCATTCTTTAAATTCCCCCACCGGTGTGATCTCTCCTTCACTGATGTTGGCAATAAGGTGATGGATGACATAAGCTTCCTCTTTCTTCCTCATCCTCGCTCTAAACCCATCTATCCTTCCAGTCTGGACTGAAGGAATAGAGGAGAGACGGAGTGATGGATGAGTTTGGGAAACTACTTTCCTGCTCTATTAAGTTCTCCACCTGAGAGAGGTGGATGAGATAAGGAAAGACAGATCATGAACGGTTCCAGAAAAGGGAGATCTTCTGAATAAAGTTTCACTGAGCAGTTCATCCGTCATCGCATTCAAAGAAAGTTTCACTGTTGCTCAAAGGAGAGCAGCGTTCACTGCATCCGTCATAACTGCACAGGACTTAACAGGAAGTCTCCCTTTGTCTCTGTCCGTTATCTGGTCTGTCTTTCTGCTTTACAGTCTCTCACTTCTCCTTGCACACTGTTGTACTGTCAGTTCAAGTCAACCATTAAACTTTCACTAATCCCTCCCTTTTTTATTTGATTTTTTCCAAGATGATTCATTGGCTTTTCTTCCCCTCAGCACTGCAGGCTTGAAAAAAACGCTGTCCCTGCCTATTACCTTCTGGCTCACTTTTTGACCACTGCCTCCCCTTCCTCCTCTTCTCTCTACCCCTCCTCCTCCTCTTCATTACCCCTTGCCTTACTCCCCCCACCCACCCCCCCCCACTTCCAACAGAAGCTCAGAGTAAGCCCTACTACTCAGATTACTCCCCCACTCGGCTGCTCATCCACAAGATGTGCACCAGCCACTACCTGGACCTCTTCATCACCATCGTCATAGGGCTCAACGTCATCACCATGTCCATGGAGCATTACGAGCAGCCACAGGTCAGGCAATAAACATCCCCTGTACACGTTGACACCAATGCTCGGTTGACTATGCAGAAATCTTCAAACTGTGTCAAACTTGCCTTGAAACTTTTAGAAGACCCAAAAAGTCTACCGTGTTTTTGCATCTATCCTTTTTTTTTTACTCCTAAATGAAATTCTCTGCATTTAGGTGTCTTAGTAGCTAAAAACAGGATACATTTAAAGGAAAACCAGCAACATTTCATGCATACAATGGAATGGCTTAGATGGAAGCAAGTCAATGTGTTATGATGCCCAGCAAAGTCCGGACGAAATTCCAACTGAGAATTTGTGGCAAAACTTGAAATTATATTAACAGACTCACTTAATCATATCTGACAGAGCTTGACCTATTTTTGTTTTTTAAACAGACTTTAGGTTTCACTGGATCTCATTGTGGGGTGTCGGATAAAAGAGGTTCCAATTTTCACATGTGTTGAAAATAATTGAAACGTATTGTTATGACATGACGAAGCGTTCGAGGATGACGATTGCTTTTGCAACTCACTTCGACTGACATGCTTATCAGTTTCCATAACACTCCTAATCTATTATTGTTTTGGAATGTTTCCTTTTTGAGTTCAGTTTTCAAAAAAGATTTAATTGAGGGGAAAAAAAGGAGGAGAGTGTTGCAATTTCCTGGAAAAAAAAAAAAAAAACTTTTGGAGAACTATAAAAGTTTAGTCGAAACAATAAAACGAGCATTACGGGCAAATCAATGAAAATGGAGAAAAACAATAAAAACTGCAAAAATATGACTGACTTTATGATCCAGTGATCTTTTAACAGTGTGTATTTTAAATATTCTCTTTAAATGCAAATGGCAGGAAAATATTACCAGGCATTGCTGAGGCTACAAGGAAAGCAAAAAAAGAACATTACCTACAGAATTGCCAAAAAAAAAGGCCAGAATAGCTTCTCAGAACTATAAAAGCAAGGTCAAAACAAAAAGTTAAACCTTACTGCTTAACCAGTTAAAGACATGAAACAATAATAATATATAAAAAGTTACCAACTTTGATCAAAAAGTACGTTTTTTGAGAACCTACCTCAAAAGTCCAACATTCAAATGATCTGTTTTCTTTGTCACTTGACACTAAAACGGAGATGAATTGTGCTGGAAAACATAGATAATCACCCAATTTTCTGTAGATGGTGTATGAAGTTACTTTTGAAGAACGTTTTGATCTCACTTTATAGCAGCATTCAGGAGCAGAATCGAGAATCAGTACAATCCTTTGAAATAGAAGCGACTCAATACATCGATATCAGCAGGACTCAAGATAAACCTTAGAGTAACGCTCTACTTTTCTTCTTCAGACAAGTGATACTCTAGATATCAAGATTATTAGAAGGTGGACTCATCAGAGCACATAACTTTGGACTAGTCTTCTGGAGTCCATCCTTGAACTTCCTGCAAAATTTCAGACTGCCCTGGATCTTTTTCTGGGACATAATTGTCATATTTGCTGCCATCTTGCCTGAAAGCCTTTCTCTAAAAGTCTACAGCTCACCGTGTTTACAGAAGCAATCAAACTCGCCCACAGCCACTATAGAGAAAGCTCAGTGTGTATTTTAAATACACACTGAGCTTTGGATGATTTATTTACTGTGACATAAAATAAATCATCCAGCAGTTCAGGATCTTGGACATCCTCAAGCATTCTTTACTGGAATGTGACTTTCTCGATGATTCAACAATGATGCAGGTCTTTCAGGTACAATTTTCCGAGCAGCAATTTTGTCAGATGTGTGGTCAATTCGGTAGTCGATGCACTGATGGCTGCACACCATTAATAACCATCCGCTAATATAGTGAGACGTTTGAAATGCATAACATTTGATTCATTGCCCAACTTCTGGGGCGTTAAGTATAAAACAGCTGACCCCCGTCACCCAATGTGAATATATCTGAATGATTTTAAAAGAAGTGAAACAGAAGCTTGTCATGTGAACTAGGAAATTTATGTTTAGTCAGTCGTAACAATGCTTCTTAGCAATACATTTTATACAACCGGTGTGAGATTTGTCACAACTGGCACTGCAAGGCGACGTATTCTCTACTGTGGAGTTGTCTACCTGATTAGATAATGGAAGTTTGAACAAACAAGCTGCATTAACAATTCACAATTTATCCATAGATAAAAACAAGCTTATCGATAGTGTGTGGGACAAAACACTAGCCAAGACAGAGTGACATCTGAGGTTCTACCCCAAACCAATCAAACCGCATCCATCAAAAGCCTATTGCTATCAACAGAGAGGATTTAGGAACCTCATGGTGGCTGCTCAGTTGTTCATTGCTTTTAAAAAGTGGCAATGCTCAAATGGAAAATAAACTGGCTTCTCAACAGCATAAAGGTTTTGACACACAAGAGGCGACATCCATCTCTTGTGGAACTTGTGAGATGAGGCGACAATCACTTCAGCCAAGCAACCGGCGAAGTTTGTGCATGCAGGTCACACATAATTTGTACACATGGGCTTGTGATGTGACACAAGAAAGTAGGAAAATCTACAACATTTGTAGCTGTGATTGCTACAGTCGCTATTGTAGCTGTCATTGATATTGTTACTGTCATCGCTGTCGTCGTTGCTGCGTTGGGTTTTACCCTGGAAAGCAGAAACTTGCTGTTGTTCATCTCTCTCCGTGTTTATTGCCATAAAGCATTGTTACGACAAAGTAAAAATTCAATCAAATGCGAATTTCCAAACTTTTATTGACTAAGTTTAGAGTCCTGGTTGAAACACAATCATGTTTGAACATTTTTCTCTAAAACACTAAAATGCTTTTAGAGAGGTTCAAGGAGGGGACAATAAATCTACTATAACATTTTATGTGAAGCCTTTCTGTAAAGTGGTTGTACTCAATAATAAGCAGTATATTTAAACCTTTAGCAAAGTCAGAGTAGACGGTGAGATAAAGAGATGTTTTACAAACTGGGCCTTTCAGTTCGGGGATAATTTGCCACCCAGGAGGGTTTAGTCAAATCCCCGCTGACCAGCAGTGCTCTCTTCGTCTCTCTGCAAAAGGTCAGTTTTTACATGGAGAATTCTCCCACAGGCAAAAAATGGACACTTTAATTTTTATGCCCTTTTCACTGAAACTGAGAGAGGACAACTTGAGCCATCTAATAACGGTAAGACCTATTGTAGAGAAAAGAGATGAAGTCTAGTTGAAATAGTTTTTTTTCTACAATGTTTTTAGTACAGTATCATTGTGAATTTGTGAAACCCACTGCTCTGTTTAACTAAAAATATAGCATGAGGTCTTCTTCTGCTTTATATCAACTTTTTCTGATGTCCTTTATAGGAGCTTGACAACGCGTTGAAGATCTGCAACTACATCTTTACCCTCATCTTTGTTTTGGAATCTGTCTTCAAGCTGGTGGCCTTTGGATTTCGACGCTTCTTCAAGGACAAGTCAGTAATCCAACCATGACCGCACTTCCTAAGTGATGTTATTTTCAACCATCGATGTCCGATTCGACGTACGTCTAACGAACTGCTTACTGGCAGTGCCGTTCTTTTAAGCGCTGACTCGTGGAAAACTTGAACCCGTGTTCAGGGAGCTTACGCGAAGTCTTTATAAGCTGCGTCGGTAAATGTCTGTGTGAATGCAAAAGGCCTCATTAAATGGCCATAAAGCACAACCGCTTCAGATGATATCATAGTTTTAAAATTCCTGGCTTCCTTTTGAAAACCGCACAGTAACGCACTAGAACAATCCCACCGGCACACGTGCTCTCCAGCACACGTTAGCACAAATATGCACCCGAAATGGACGCCACACCTCGTCTGTTTGAACCGGAGCTACAGCCACCCAGGACTTTATGATGCCCACTGGCTCTGTCACAGTTAGAACCTTATCCTGTTTGACTTTGGCAGGAGTTTAGCTAAACATCTCAACACTACAATTCATTCTTATTCCTAAGGAAAATAACCCACAGCTGTAACTTAGAGCTGTACAATTTTAAACCCATTTTTCATGTTGATTCTGTATTTTCCAGTGGTTTTCTGACAGATCAAGTAGAAACCCTGGAAATGCTGCTCAACTACCTACATCTTGATTATCTACAGTAATGATCTTTCAATGTGTTTTTGGACCTTTTGACCTTAAAGTGGATAATTAAATATAGAGTCTGTTTGTTACCGTCAACAACCTAAATCTATTTCACAAGCAGTTTTAACATTTATTTTAATAACATAAGAGATGTGGACTCCAACTAAGCCTGACATGTTTTTTTTTTTTAGACAAGTTTAAAATATTTCATTAGAGATGTAATTTACAAAAATGGTACGCTAATGCAGCACTGACTCAATCGTATTGTTCAATCACCTGCTATGCTATGCAGATGTTCTGTCTGCCATGACGAAAACTTGCCTCTTTATTTGACAAAAATCAACATGAGATTTGAGTCGTTTGGGGCTTAAAGGTAACACTACCAATTTTTTCAACAGACCAGGCAAAAACAGTAAGAGAAACCCATTTGATACAGTAAGATTGCCAGATTTTTACTCTTTTCCTGGAAGTCAATTTGAAGGTTGAGTTTCCAGTCTCAAATTCGTGACTCCTTTGAGACTCAATTCCAACTCTCGAGTTGCAGCTTCAGTCCTGGAGGCGATGACTCAGAAAGAAGAAATGCGCGGTTCTCCTGTACCTCTTTGCAGGGAATCATATTTGTCAAAGGCTTTGGCGAAAAGAAGTGATGCACAGCAAGTCGGCAATGGTGACTGATGAGTGTGTGTGTGCGTGTGTGTAGGTGGAACCAGCTGGATCTCGCCATTGTTCTGCTGTCCATCATGGGCATCACTCTGGAGGAGATTGAGGTCAACGCTTCGCTGCCCATCAACCCAACCATTATCCGCATCATGAGAGTGCTGAGGATAGCAAGAGGTACGATCTCCCTCCCTCCCGGTTCTTTCCGCCTCCTTCCTTGATGCTCTGCCAGATATGTCGGTGCAGCTGCTTCTTACACGCCGCTTTGCCTTTTAAGGATCCTTGTAAAACAGACGCATCTCTGGGACTCCCCTATCTGTCATTTTTGCATGGCAGGTCCCAGCAGGGCTCGGGTTGAGGGCGAGCCGACCAGATGGCACAGGGAAACGCACTCGGCAGACAAACAAAGCACTGGCAAGGTCTTAATCTGCAATGAGCGTGGTTATGGTAGAGGGAGAGGTAAAGACCGGCGTAGGGAGGAATATAGGGAATGATGAATAACTTCTGACCTGGAGATCCATCACCGGGAGATGGGATGAAGCCATAAAGAGGAGCAGTTGCTGTCAGAGCGAAAAAGATTGAGATGAAGTTAATGACGAGGGGAAAGAGATGGAGGGTGGGCAGAAGAAGCCATGGAAGACGAACAGGAAAGGTGATTTGGTAGAGGAGAGAACAGGCCAGGGAAATTCAAGAGTACCAATTTACTTAGGTCCGATATCGGTCCGGCTAATGGATGTAAATGAAGGCTTGTTTGGAAAAAACAGGAGGAGAAGAAGCTGCAGGACAGAAATTAGTGAAACTCCTGCTTTAAAACTTTACAACAATCCATCTGTCTGCATTCGTTAAATACAGTGGAGCTAAGAGGAGGTAAGGGACCAACAACCGCCCGCAAATTGCTGGAATCCAGAAATACTTACAGCTACCTCTGAAAATGATTAGAACTGCCTTTATTAATAGCTTAAACATCAAATGTACTTTTTATACATTTGATGGAAACTGTCTTAGCGTGACTCCAGACGCAAACATCCTCGCTCTTCCTTATTTCTGTTCTTAGTGGTATCTTGATTGGTTGACTCTCCTGGATTGGTTGCTTTGCAAGTGCCAGCCAAAAGTGTGTCAAATAGCATTGCACCGAGGTATTTCAGCTGCTTTCAAATATTTTAGATGTATTGTACGAGAGTTAGTTACATTCCACAGAAAAATCCACAAATAGGCAAAACCAAAACCACACTCCACCTTCATGTCTGCAGTCTTATAACTTTGACAGGTTTGCAGGTTTTGGGTACAGTTTGACTCCCTTCAGAATGTCTTTTGTTACAACTTTCTCTTCTCTGCTCTTGTCCCAAAAAAAAGAGAACCTAATATGGAGAATAGCTAAATATATGAGGTGAAAACCATAACACCTCTGAAATGAATCAGAAAACAAACAGTAGATAAAGAAATGTGAACGATTATTTTTAGCATTAGCAGCTAGCAGTTACTCTGTCAGTTTATTTTTCTACTCAAAACGCTGTCACACAAAACAGTTTAAAACTGATCAGGCTTCTTCAGTGCTAACCTGAGCCGTCCTTATTAATCGACTCCATCAAAAAAGATTTAGGAGAAGCTAATGTATGGCTTCCTGTCTTGCTTCAAAATAAGAGCCTACAGGGTTTGGAGCTTAAAACATCCACCATTATCATAAACTGATATTTCCATCATCACAAAACTTGTGATAGAAGCAGCACAAAATGTTTGGACAAATGCTTCATGTAGAATTTCAATCTGTTGGATTGCTGAGACTCTTTTTTTCTACTTTCTGGTAGCTTTTAGTATTAAATTTTTTCTGCAAGGGGTCGTTTTAAACAAAACATTAGGCGTAGTTTTTGATATTAGTCTTGTACCTTCATATGTCTGTGAGTTTGATGTTAAAACGCGAAATGCACCAATTCCAAGGGGATGAGCCAGTTTGGATGGCAAAAGAAGATGGTTAAAACAATTTCTTGACCTTTTCTTTACTAGTGCTCTGTCAAAAGGACAGAATTGCTTCCTATTTCTTTATTGATTTGGCAGCTTCAAAAGAGCCAGTTGTCCAAAACCTGGAGGTGGAAAATTGAAGGACAAAAAAAATAAAAATAAATAAATAAGTGGCATGTCTAAAAACACAGAGAAGCAGTTTCCAAAAGTGATATTCTTACGAACGAGGAGGAAAAATTTTTTTAAAAAGAACCTCCGGAAAAGACCTCATACATGCATCATTCTTAAGTTGATTCAACTGTAATTCGCTAAAACCTCATTAGAAAAAGTCCCAAAGGAGGGAGGCTGCTTGTCCGGAAGCCATTCCGAAGAAAGGGACGCAGAACGAAAAGGAGGATGTGAGTCAAATTACACAAGAACTGCACCGAAGATAAGTCTTACAGAGTAATTATCACTGATTAGGACGTTACGATGCAGGATGCGGTAATTAAAGCATCGTGTGCGAAGTTGGTCAGACGAGACGTGGAACGTGGAGCGTCTACGGCCATCTGTAAAATACACTGCAGCCTTTGTCGTGTTTCGGGGGGGGGTGTTGTATTAAGTTGGGTCGGGAGGTTTTCCCAAACAGATAGAATTACAAATACACAAGAGTCCTGCCAGATTTTAAACCACCATACAAAACTGTTTGAAAAGCATCTGAATGGCGACATGGGGAGGATCCAACAGGACGATGATGCCAAACAGACGAGCAGAGAAATGAAACCATGTCTTGGGGGAAAAAAAAAAAAAAAGCAATGGAAAACTAATAGTAAGAGAGAGTGGACTTAAACCTTACAGCGAGGAATCTTCTAGGACATCAATAGGATGAAAGAAAATCAGCAACCAAAGAAAAGCGTTGCAGTCGACTCCTGCCTATTCGCAGCTCAGTATTTGTGGATTCATGTATTTTCCTGTGGACTGTGATTGTAAAATATTCATGGAAAAACTGCCGAGTCATAGGTTGTGTTTTTGTTCTAAAATTTTTGAAATAAAATGCGTCTTGTTGAAACTGAGATACCTAGATGCTATGTGCAAAGCAGCCAACCCAGGTACACAATTCATTTTCCTTGGTACTGATTGGCTGTAATCCCAAAAGCAGAATTATTGTACATTAATGTATATTTCATGTTTGAATTTTTAAAATAGGGGGTTATAATTGCAGGTTTGAGCTATTGCTGAGTCGCTGTGCTCCATCACTCCTGCAAATACCGGGGGTTCGCTGAAAATATTTTTCCAAATGTAGGAGAACTGTTTTTAAAGAGATACTATGAAAGGGAAACTTACTAAGAAGATGGAATCTCTTAATTCTCATGGAATAAGTTTCCTCCACTCAATCCTGACATCGTCAAGTGTTCTGATGTGAAGCACACTACAACTAGACTCTAGTGGTGCATTCACACCAGGCCTGTTTAGTCCCCTTTAATCGACCTCTAGTTTGTTTGCCTAGGAACTAGTCCGTTTCATTTGGGGAGGTGTGAACGCACAATCGAACTCTGACCGAAACAGTGAACTCTGGTGATGTTCAAATGCATATGTGGATAGAAGCGGACCGGAGACCGCTCCAAAAGCAGGAAATGGACTATAGTGCAGGGCATTCTGGGTAAATATGACCAAAATAAATTTGTGAGTCTAGCACTTGTGGGAGAAATGTCTTATGTTCTTTGGCTAAAGACAAAAGAGAAATCCTCCAACCACTAAAATCTGACGCCAGTGCATTTTTGTTTACGTTTTGTGAATGAGAAAGTTGCGCTCGTGTCTTCTTCTGAGGTTTTTGTATTTTTCCCTTCTGTGGTTCATGGTGCAGCGCCACCATAGTTTAGGGGGAGGTATCAGGTTTTTCAATTCAGTTGGTTTGTTTGGCACAATACAGTAGGAAAACAAACTGCACCAGCTGAAAATGCAACAAGTGTTGCAACTTTGGTCCCCAACTGGACCGAGTCTGTCTGAGGTGTTTCCACTGCTTTAGGAGTGAAAACACCCTAAAGCAGTGACTTGTTTTCAAGAGTGAAGAGTCATGTCTTCCTCAGATGGAGGAGTGTAGGTTTTGCAGTTGCTAGGAGAATGGCGCTTGCCATCAGGCTTTGTGTCAATAATCCCCAGAGGATTACGGCATGGGCTGATTTTCAGCAGCTGGACTTGACCTCTTGCTGACACTTAAAGTAACTCATCATACTTTAACATCCCAAGATGTTTTAGAAAACTTCATGTTCCCAACTTAATGAGAAACAGTTTGGGGATGGACATGACTGCACACCAGAGCACAAAGAAAGGACGGCGAAGACGAGGATAAGCAAGGTTTGCTTTGGAAAAACCAGACTGTCCTCAACCCAACAGATGCCTGTAGAATCAATTAGTGAAGATTGCAAGCTTGAAGTTTCACCCAACATCAGTGTTTGATGCACTTGCATAGACACAAAACACACAATGTAGCGGAAAGTTTTACCAGAAGAGACTAAGAACGGGACGTCAGTCAAGTTCATGTCTGCGTCAGAGCAGAGAGCGAATAACGCTCAGAAAAATTCAGGTCCTAGTGCTGATTCGGTCAGCCAGGTTTTAATTATTACCGAGTTTCAACTTTGTAGAAGTTTTGACGCAACATCCCAAGTTACATAACACTGACAACTCTTTGTTTGGAATCACTTTTTTTTTTTTAAATTCTTCTTCTTATGCTCTGTGTCTCTGCAGTGCTGAAGCTCCTGAAGATGGCGGTCGGAATGAGAGCTTTGCTGGACACCGTTATGCAAGCTCTGCCTCAGGTAATACAAGCCGCTCATTTAAACGCCTCAAAGCCTTTGAATTCCCCATGCTGTCTTTTCTTTTTCATGGATACATTTTTTTTTTTTACCCAAACACATCCCACTGCTGTTGTCTGTATAATTACATCTCAGAAGCATTTTCATTCAGTCCATATTTTTATATTTCACAGCGTCATCTTTTCCCACCAGTCTATCCCCCCTTCGACTGTATGCAGCCTTATTTGCATTAGCGTTCCCCCTCGCTGCGGCTGGGGAAGGGAGCGCAGCTCCAGGTTTTGTTTGGAACAGTGGTGGGTGGATTTGCCGGGTGAGAGAGTTGGTAAATTGGAGCAACTTTCTACAGTTTCGATTTAGAAAAAAAAAAAAAAAAAAAAAAAAAAAAAAAAAAATGCTCCGCTCCCAGCGTTCTTTGATAGCACCTCTGTCGTTTTCATTCAGACAGAGACGATGTCACAGCGAGTGCTGTTCCGGGCTACATTCTGCCAGAGCTTGTCAGAAGTGTTCAGAATTAATAAAGGCGATAACAGGAGGCGATGTGGGTGCGAGCAGGTTGCCGCTCGCTAATTTGCACTGACAGCGAATCCGAGAGCTCTTTATTACCCCAAAAACCCACCTTCGCGACAAAACCGAAACCCGCTGTTGCATCTGTGTCGGTTTTGTCTGTTAATCGGCGGCTGGGCTTCCTCTGCGCGAGGCCTTACATTAAAATGGACGTTTTGTCACCAATTGTTTCCCCGTCAGACAACTGAAGCCTGAGTAGCGGAGACACGGCTGCAGCCATCTTGCATCAGAGGGATGAAAAGGGTTACATAATGTCAACTGGCATTCTCATACAGTGTCTTCTATGATTTTATGTGATAGAGACACAAAAAATAATTGTCAACAGAAAAAATAGGAGACAGTCCACCTCAAAAGAGTTTGTAAACAGGATTGAAATGATTTCTTTTAACATTTGCCATATTTTGCATTCATATCCCTCAAAAATCTGACTAAAGTTGTTTTAAGGGGCAGTTTTATGTAAATAGTAATAGGAAAATCTTTTTTCATAGCCCCGCCTTCGAGGACGAAACTGCAGTTTTCAAGCTTCCACCTTACAGCCCATTCCTACCCCACGACTCCCCCACTCAGCTCCTTCAAACTAGCCAGTATCAGTTAGCAAACATCTGGTGGAACTGAGCATCTGCTGAGCTCATTATATGACGAGCTACTGCTCAGTGAAACGCTTGTAAAAATAAATAAATAAATAAATAAATAAAACATTTTTAAACGTTGAATAGAGGAGCCATTTTGTGATGACTTCCTGAAGGCCGAGTTTCAGAAAGAGCAGGAACTTCTTAAAGAGACAGAGGCCCAATTTCAAGGCGTCAAATTTCTTTTAAGTCATGTTTGATATATAACTAGCATTTTTGTAACAAATTATATTAAAATAGTTGATTGTGCTATAAAACTGCCCTATGTTGTTGGAAAGTACATATTACGACCCCTTTATTTAAAATATTGCATGCTTAGTCTAATTAGCAGGTAGAAAATAGTACATGTTTTTTTTGTCAGATTTAGCATTAGATTCAAATTGACAAGTCTGAACTATTTACTACTAAAGGTTTTTATTTAGGCTCAGGTTACCTCATCCTGTCTGCATTTCTTTCATAAATGCATGGGGAGAGCGAGCAAAATTCATACTGAAGGCCAAGCAATCTTGTTGATAACTATTAGTTTTTATATCTTTTACTCGTGGTACAAGTACCTCTGGTGGTAATGTGGGCTACCTGCAGAGATATTTCAAGTTGACTGCTTATAAGGTGAAAAAAAAATAAAAAAATGAAGCTAATTCATGTTTGTAAGTTACTGTGGAGAAAAGCTAATAAGTCCAATGTGCCAGAAAGAGAAAATAGGCTGCTGGTATTTTAAAAAGCAACTCAACAGGGAGAACAAGGCAACTTATGTGAAGTTTCAGCAGCAGAAACTGAATTTGCTGACAGTGATCCATGAACATGTGCAGGTGGTTACTAACGCTGAGGCCCATTTATCTCTTGAGCTGGAAATTGGACCTCGAAATGTCAGCTTTGCTTTATGTTGGGTCGAGTGACCAGGCAAACAGACAGATGCTATCAATCTATGGCCGCCATATTGAATATTTAACATATGGACAGGAAGGGAGCACATTTAAACCACACATGCAGAGAAGTAGTAATATTTATTATAAAAATCGATTAAGTTCATTTCACTGCTATGTCAAAACCAGCCATTACAGTGGTACGTGGAAAACATACTGTTGATTGAGGTGGCTTTAGTTTTTAAAAGTAAAAAAATGATGAATCATGCTCAATTCATACAAAAGGCACACAGAGACAAACGAGACAAAAAATTTAAACCCAACAAATCAATCTATCTATCTATCTAGCTAGCTAGCTAGCTAGCTAGTTAGGTAGCTATCAATCTAGCTAGCTTGGTAGCTAGTTAGCTAGCTATTTAAAAATCTTTCTAGCAATCTATCTATCTATTTTTCAAACTAAATTTTTACATGCCTTGTCTTGCCACTCCTTTGTAAATTTTCTGGGGGCGCCATTGCTCTGACAGTAGGAAGTGATAATTGTTCCCCTGACAACAGCGCTGACACGTTCCCACCCGTTTGTCCTCTAACGCTCTGATCCCTCACTCTTCGTCTCTCTGCAGGTGGGGAATCTGGGCCTGCTCTTCATGCTCCTCTTCTTCATCTTTGCCGCTTTGGGAGTCGAGCTGTTTGGCGACTTAAGTAAGGACACGTCCGCGGTTTCAAACAGGCGGCTTAGATGGAAAGAGTTTCACTCTTGAATACTGCTCAGAGTGCACAGACATGCTCTGAGTCTTCCCTTCGCCCCTCTCAGGGTTTAATCTACCTGATTTTAATTGCTTTCCGGAATCCTTTGTTGAAACACCATATTGATCTCGCTAATTGTGTCCCAGAGCGTTCAGATTAATAAAACAGCGTCACGGTAATTATTTCACTGTGAAGAAAAGGCCCTGAGTGCGGCTGTCTTGACGTTTCTGGCTTTCTCTCTGTCCACAGTCTGTGATGAGCTCCATCCATGCGAGGGTCTGGGCCGCTACGCCACTTTCAGGAACTTTGGGATGGCGTTCCTGCTGCTCTTCAGAGTTTCCACTGGCGACAACTGGAATGGCATCATGAAGGTGAAGCTCTTGTGCATTTCCACTTTGAACCAGCATATTTAGAAAGGAGAAGTGCCGCGTCAGAAGGCTGCCGGTCACCGATTGGCTATGGGGTGAAGTCGGTTGTGACATGAACAGAGTTGGTACATTAAAATCCTGTCCACATTTTTATGAATTCCTAATCACAACATAACATAAACCGTACCTTTCTCCACGCCACCACCTGCTTCTGGGACTCACTCGTTTTTTATCGCCCTGCTGCAGGACACTCTGAGGGACTGCGCCCACGAAACGGGGACGTGCTACAACACCGTGGTCTCTCCCATCTACTTCGTCTCCTTCGTCCTGACCGCCCAGTTTGTCCTGGTCAATGTGGTCATAGCCGTCCTGATGAAGCACTTGGAGGAGAGCAACAAGGAAGCCAAAGAGGAGGCGGAGCTGGAGGCCGAGTTAAACCTGGAGCTGCAAATGGAAGGAGCAGACATGGCGCCAAGGTCGCCCCAGCTCAACCCCCTGGCCCTGGGCATGGACCGGTCGAGCTCGGGGGGTTCCCCTTGGCGGTCTGCCGGAGGGGGGGACATGGAGCAGGAGCGGGAAGGTCCTATGGACTCTCCCACTGCTGATATAACCAGAGACTCTGTAGACATCAGAGCAGAACCCCCCGCATACCCAGAGCCCCAGCTGGAGGTAAATAGCTGCTTTTTTTTTTTTTTCAGGATCTTTTGTTCTGTTTGGCGCTGTCCCATCTTTTAAAGTCTCATTTTCTTAACAAACATGGAAATGTTGTAACATCAAGGGGTAAAAAACTGATTTACGGCTAAAAACATAACTGCTTATTTTTGTACCTAATAATAGAAACTGTGGATGTTAGAAAACACCATGTGCTTCCAAGACCTTGCATGCACATGATTTTATAGCTGCTTTCAGGTCTCTTTTCTTTTTTTTTTTCTCGTGTTACCATAATAAGATCGAGGTTCATTGGGGGATTTTTAGGGACATACAGCTGAGATTCAGTCAGGCTGGGCAACAAGTCATGAGAATACATATTTGGTTGTCAGAACTCCCTTTGATGCAAAGCATTAGTTGTTTTTTTAGTATTCTTCTTATCCTGTGGCACTCAGAATTGTCTGATTGCCAAGATGAGGCCCAACATATTTATCTCACAGCCTTCGATGTGATTCTCTACTTGATATACATACAAATTCTAAATTGCTTTGGGTTTATCTCAAATATAATTGACACTGAGACAGAAAAGAAGTGAGGAAAGGTGGTGTGAAAGATTTAAAGGGCAAGAAGAAACGAGCAGAAGAAAGAACACAAGTAAACATCCCAGAAATCTGCTTCTACACCTGCAGGAGAGAAAAACAAAACCAGGAAACCATAGCAACAAACATAACAACACAACATCTCTGGAAAGCAAGATGAGATTAGGGGTCAACATGTACATAAACCAAGCCAGACATGGTTTCACCTTTAGATCTTGTGAAGTACGCGATCTTGCCGTTTTGGTTTTGGTAACAGAACGCATCTCTCCGTTCCTCTGGAGTGTGTGTTGGTGTTCAGTCAGAGAGCCTCCATTAGCCCAGTGGTGACTCTGGAGCAGCTGCAGAAATTTAAACCGTCAACAAAGTCATTGTTGAAATAAAGTCATGAGTGGTTTCATTCAGTTTGTCACAAGGAAACAGTTTTGGGGTGGCAAGGTAGCACTGGAGTTAGACATGGTGGTGGCAGCATCATGGCACGGAGAGGTTTTTCTTCACCATCTAAGAGAAGTTAGTCAAAGTTTCTGGTAATTTCCGGAAGAGGAGTAGTGAGCAGCTACAAAAAACGTGATGATAGAAATCTAGTAGTGTGCACAACGTCAAAGACCTGCATCTGTATTTGTACCAACTAGAAGTTTTCCAGAGTATTGGGTCATGTGTTGCTTTGTTTGGCTAAAGCACAGAATCTCAATGAAATACGTTGATGTTTGGAGCTAGGAAAAGGTGGAAATGTTCATGAAATCTCAAGTCTGACTGCTGAGGGTTGAACCGGTGAGCCGTCATGGAACGATAAGTCAAGAACTGGCATCTCTTTAAGTCTGAAAGCAGTTTGGTTATTTGTCAACTCATTTTCTAAGACCTTTCTTCAT